TTTGGAGTTATTTTACCAAAAAATATAATTGATTTCACCACCCGGTCTAAGTTACCCCAAGAGCTGGGGTAACAAAGACCATCACTTTTTTTGAAATTACATAAAGACTATGAGAGGCAGGAGCCAGCAATTTATGGTGAGTGAAGCTAGAGTATAGACCTTTATTTTGCAGGTTTCAATTCAAGTTTAATTTAGCTAGTAAAAAAGTCATTTATAAAAAAGAAAGTGGTCTAAGTTACCCCATTTTACGGTAGCAGCTTATCTCATAATTTTATGTGATATCAAAAACTTTGTTGGTGTTGTCCAATCGTGAGAATTTTTTACAAATGTGGACGTTTTTTTTTTTATTTTAGAATGTATTCATTGCAAAAATGTGTCAGCTAGCCTACAGATAAACGACTAGTTAACTTGATTAGGCATTGGCAACACGGGATTGGATTTCAAAATATAATGTATTTTTATTTGATTGAAAAAATCAAGGTTCATACTCTGCAGTCTGCAGCCATGTCTTTTCAAAAAATATTCAACTTTTGCAATCTGCAGTACTTTAAGGGGAGTGTCTTGGTCCAAAATAGAAAATTTTGGCTTTTCTTCTTTTTATGCTCATCTTGAAGCTTTCATTCTGTAGCGTCTAATGGTACCAAAACCATCTCTGTACATTGTTGATTTATGCATTCATGGCAGATTGTAAGTTACCCTGCGACCTGCGTCAACCCTTTAACAAAAACCTGCCTAAGGAAATTCGAGCCAGGCACATATTAGTGTGCTCTCTCAGCCTCGGGCTTCAGTTATACACAAGCTGTCTTGGGGAGGGTCTTCATGCCATTGTTCTTTGCATGGATGACTCGCTTCAGAGTGAACTAACACTTAACTTGAGTATCTTGGCTACAAGAAATATCTTTATATAGTGCGTGTGCTGTCAGAGGGGGATTTTTGGCTGTCCTGACTCCTGAAAACCTCTAACTGCAAACCTATCTCCTCCTAGAGTTTTGAAGCTACAGCAATGAGATATAGGTATACCATTCAATTTGCAACAAAGAGATCTACAAATTGACGCAGGTGTTTTTCTAATTTCGTTATAGTTTGCATTTTATTTAGCAAAAAGGGGGTTTGGGGAAGGGTAAAACCGAAAAATTTTTGAAAAATTTACAAAAAATGCTCCCACGCGGACAAAAATGGGAATACCAAAAAACGCCTGCACAAATTTGTAGATATGGTCTTTACGCATCAAATGATAAGTGCCTTGACTCTTGATGTCATAGCTTGAAAATCCTAGGAGTAGATAGATTTCTACAGTACCTCCTTTTTTGGCCGTTTCTTAGAATTTCATGTTTTCTATATTTTTTTTTTTTTCACAGGAAACAAAAAGTCTTGAATTCCATTTTACATACGTGTATTAAATTTTGAAGTGATCTGTCCGTAAATAAAAAAGTTTTTTTGGACCAAGCTGCTGCCCTTAATGCTCAGCCCACCAAAATATCCTGCAGAATGTAATGATAATGAGTCAACCCAAAACATTTAGTTGAAGATTGCATAGTTGTGGTCATGTCAGACTGCATAATCACACGTTATTTTCAGGTGCCACTAAAGTGAAGAGCTAAAGATAAAAGTTATTTTATTTTTATTTAGCACCGTAATATTATGGTTGCAATGTTGTACCTTAGAGTATTACAACCTTCATTCAGATTTTCAAGTCTAACTTTATTCCCACCTATTTTTATCCTTTCTATCTTGACTAAAATTTTTGGATCAAAAAGTAGTGGAGGTGGATTGAAAATAATATACAAACCCTAATTTTTAGAATTCCATCCTGATGTGTGGTGTGCCGTACTATGCCGGTGAAAAAATGCGCCGTGTACTGTACTCCTAGAAGGCTAAAATAGTTTAAATTTGGATGTGTGGCAATGCAATTGCACACTGTACACAGGAACATATTTCTGCATTGTGTTGCAGTTGGATATGAGTTGACTAGATTGCTAACATGTCAATTCAGGTTCTAAGAGTCAGCACAGTTATGAATATTCATTCATTGATCACAATTCAGGCGGACATGAATTACAGAACTAAAGAAGGCAACACGGCTTGAGATCTGCCATCGGTGCTTTCTAATGTATGACTGGTTGCAGCATATAGGGTGATCACTGATCAGATAATTACAGTTATATACAGATAACAGTACACACCTATACATCAACATGAGGACTAGGTAAACTCCCAACATCATCCCAGCTGGCAAAATGGACATGGCATAGCATAGTGATGTTGGTGCCTAAGAATAGGCCTGATGTGGTCTGCTGCCAATTCTTGTACATGATTAATACGTAATAACAATATGCTTGAATGGACTGTACAAATTAAATTGATGCAGCATAAATACAGAGCATAAGTAGACTATGTGAGACAGAATATTCAAGAAGAAATTGATCTCTTGAGGAAGACTAGAGTTTTTAGCAGCTTGATAGCATGGTCTCTAGGTGCTAATTTGATATTTTGGCCCAGGTAAAAAATCTTTTGCTGTAACTTCTAATGGATACAGTTTAGTATTGGGTCTAATGGCTTTTCCAAAGTCTATAACTTATTTTACAGAATAAACAAGGGTATTGTTACAAACAATCAAGGAAATTACTCTTCTTGATCCCCAAAGTACATGAGGGTGATCACTATGAATTTGTACAATATCACCTATCTTAACAGTATTACCTATTACCAGTATTACCACATGGTCATCGTAAGTCCTCATGGTCATCATAAGTCCACAAAACCACTGTAAGTCCACACTGTCATGGTGTGTCCACACGCCCATTGTAAGTTCACACAGGAAATATTTACAGCACTGATGGTCAAGAAAAAGGCTAAATAATCAGTACTGTAGCAGAAGGCTGCTATGGTATGTACCGTACCAGTAGATGTTATTACAACATCTTAATGTCATTATGGCATGGCTTGCCATATTTCAAATAAATGTGTGTATCATTACATTGCATTTAAATTTGTAATAATATAATAAGAATTAATTGGTATCATTAAATAGTATAGCCAAACTGGGTATTACCTCCTCATAGTATTTTTTTATGTTGTAATCAATTTTTCTGTTGATTCGATTCAAGATGTACAAAGAATGTGTTTTCAATTGATTATACTTTACTTGTCTGAGAATGAATATTATATACAGAGATTAGTTTTGATAGTTTTATCTAGAAAAATTATGTACAAAGCCTGCATAATTTGATTGAAGCTTGCATTTTAATATGATAGAAAAAAATTTCTGCTGATCAAAACATGTTGACATTTATTAGAACACCAATCAATGCTAAATACTGGATGTCTTCTGGGATTGTCAAAATTTGTATAATCCTGGAAAAATTTGAGCTATTCAAGATTCCTTGTTCAAAAATCCATGATGTATTTTTCAGATTTCAGCATACCTAGTCTCAGCTTTTCTAGTTGTTGCATTGTTTGTAAAAAACTGATCTTCAAGACAATTTTGTGTCCTTTATACTTGTATTGATCTTAATTTGTTGAGCAAAATGACTGCAGTGAAAGGTACCAGAGTAAGTTCTGAAGGTGGGGACATCACAAGTGATGACAACACTTCAGCCTCAGAAGGAGAATATGAAGGCAGTGGTGAAGATGAATCTGGGAGCGAAATTGAGCTCAATGAAAATGGCATAGAAAGTTATGATGAGGTGGAAAGTGATGATAATGAAGATGATTCTGGAAAAGATGTGTCCCAAAATTCAACATTTTTCACAGAAGAAACTTCAATAAAAAAGTCCCAATCAGCACTGGCGTCAGTGCTTGGGTCTTTGCTTAGCAAAAATAAAACGGACAAAGAAATATTGAGCAAGGCAAAAAAGGATAGAGACATCCCTCCAGGAAGGAAGAAGAAACCACAGAAACCACTAGAAATAGTGCTGTCAGATGGCACCATTTCGAAACTTGAAGATGAGGAATCTGTCCCAATAACAATCAAGAAAGAACATGACCAACTAAGACCACTGTCCAAAGTGAGTATTTATTTTAGATTTATCTATCTGTATTTCATTGCATTCAATTTCTCTCTTGTATATTATTTTTTCTCCACTGAATGGTGTAGGTACCGTACATTATTTCTGTTCTTGCTGGTTGATGTTGCAAATCTCACCAATTAGAGCACAGTAAGTTGATTTGAAATTAAAAAAAAAACAATAAGTTGTTGGCATACTTTTTAATCTGCTTCAGCTTGTAAGTCATGGAAAGTTTTAATTATGTACTTCAATATCCTACTGTGGAAACATTTTGTGTTCATGAGTAAATTGTTTTTGATTTTGATTACAGAAGCGGAAAGCAGACACATTGTACAGAACTGCTCAAGAAGACGTCAATGTGGTAAAGGAGAAGAAGCTGAGATCTTTAGCCACTAAGTAAGTGGAATTTGACATGGACCTGTTATTATATACTACTTCTGTAATGATATTTTCCTATTATGCTGTGAAAAACGAAATTGAAAAAAATGACAGAAACGGTTATAATTTGGGCTTTTCACTTGATTTTTATTTTTACTGGCAGAAAGAAATTTGTATTACAAGTTCATTCTCTTGCATGTATTGTGCAGCCACTGCCCAGCAGTTTAACACGATCACAGCTTCTTTGAATCCAAAATATTTTACAGATTTTATTCTTACATTTTGTAAAATATTATGTAACATTCTATGAAATTTTATTTCAAGAGTTATTCATTATGCTTTTACAACAGTTCATTACAGTCCTGACATAAATTTAACAAACAGAATTATTCCCTTCAATACTAAACTGAATGGATGCAACTCTCATACACCAATTGAGAAGTATTCTGATGATGAGGGTAATTTGGGTAAATATTCATGTTCATGAATGAAAATGCTGGAACAATGAGAATATTTTTGAATGTGAATGCACTCAGTCCTTTTGCCATGCATGGACATGGATTTAGTGTATAATTGGGCACTACAGTAAATTGAATTATTTTATTTCTGGCTATTTCATTATTGAGCAGGTTATTGAGAGTAAGTTCTTGCCCTAAAAAAGTGTTTTTCACTTTTAATTATTAAATTTCAGGGGTGTGGTTCAATTGTTTAGTTTTTCACTTTTAATTATTAAATTTCAGGGGTGTGGTTCAATTGTTTAACACTTTGGAGCAATACCGACAAGAGAAGAAGGGAGCCTTCACCCAGGAAAAGAAACGTACTACCCAGGTTTCAGAAATGTCTGCTATTACCTCTGGCAACTCGGGTCTCATCGATTTCTTATCAAAGAAAACCATGGTATTAATCTTTTGTGTTTTTTTGAGGGTTTGCTTAAGCTCTATATTTATTTACAGGACTAAACAAATCATTCAATTCTATAATATCTTCTTTTTGTGCTATTGATTTATACCAAATCTTTCATTTAGAAATTTTTATAAACTCGTAATAACATAGCCTGTCTTTCAAAACTGCTAAAAAATTAAGATTTATAAGTAATTGCTGGAACAGATTGGGTTTGACATTGAACAACATCATCAAAACTCAGTCCATTGGTAGAATAAAATACTTAAAAAAAACTTTTTAAAAAAACACGTTTTTCTTGTGGACTAAAAAGTAGTAAATAAATTATGGTTCGCCCCAAAAAAACGTGTGTCTGGCAGATTTATGATTGAAGCGAAAAGCACACAACACTTAAATTTTGGAAATTTGATGGTGAACGTACACCCCGACCCACGTTTTTTTGGGGCGAACCATAATTTATTTACTACTTTTTAGTCCACAAGAAAAACGTGGTTTTTTAAAAAGTTTTTTTTAAGTATTTTATTTTCTACTTTTTAGTCCACAAGAAAAACGATTAAGATTTGATTAAGTATGACTTGACGTACGTATCGATGATACGCAGCGTTAGCGCCTGCTCGTCTATAACATGAGCGCCCGCACGTCATACTATATATATATAATATATATACTTTACTCAATTAAACTAATTTAGGTCTCTAATTACTAATTTTTATGATTGTATCTGAAATTGTTAGGCGAAAATAGCCTGCATGCCGAATTTCAGATCTCTATAACAGTCAGAAGTGGGCTAATTTTCGTTGTCAATGTTAACAACAAACAAACAAACAAACACGAAGCTAAGCTAAGAAAAACGTGTTAATAAGGGAATTTATTGGCTAATTATTACATAAGGTTAAAGCAAATATTAATTGGTACCTACCGGTAATGTTTCCTAATCAATTGGTGCTATAATTTTTCATTTAACCTGATTAGTTTTCAATTCATTGGTGGGCTTTTCCTATTATATGTGGAATATTTTGATAATCAGTAATATGGCAACGGTTATGAGGACATGTTTACGTCATTTTAATCCAAAGAAAATATTTTAAACTTTATAGTTAGGTAATGGCGTAATGCATTGCATGGAATTTGTTGCGTAGAATGTAATTGATCATTACATGCACATTGAGTGCGCTAACAGATCAAGGAAAAATGTTAAATTGAATTTATTGAAAATTCTGGTTGCCATTGATTTATTTTCATTTTTTGAGCTTTATTGTTTTTATGCCTTTCAGGGAGGAGAAAGGAAGCTGTTCGGCGAAGTTAAGGACGAAGATGACGACCAGATGTGACCAGCCTTGTGATATTAAAAAAAAAGATATCACCTGGTTCTATCTATAACCTTATTAGAATTCATTGCCTTACATGCCTATAAAATTTTTCACCAACTTTTTACCTCACAACAGTATTTACAAATCTATGTATACCACCCATTAGTATAAAAGCTGTGGTTAATAAGTTTCGCTCACACTCCACTTACTGGTCTATTACACCGCTGGCATTTATATGCTAGACGAGTGCCAACTTGACGTAGTATATAATCAACAGGTTCTAAACAAAGTTCTTGAACGTTTTTATAGCCTTCAAATCGGTTTGGAATCGTCAGCAGAGCGGCTTAGCCAACTATTTAAATCCGACGCTACCACAATTCTCTCGCGCAAGCTGTTGTTGGTAGTTATAAAATCCACTTTCGCCCCGCAAGAAAACTACGCGTGCATTCATGACTATGTATTAAGCCAGACGCACAAGCTACTTGAGAGAATGTGTACAACGGCACGAGGCCACTAGGGTAAATCATTGAAGCTTAGTAGTAGGCATAATCATCACAGTAGTCTGATAATTACGTGGTAATGATGAGAAAAATAGCGAAAAAAAATCTTAAAACGAGTGCCGTAGAGTCTGGTAAAATGAATGGGATCGGTGTCGCTGTGTTTGCATCCTGGAGCTGTGTCAGACAAAATATTCGTGTGAAAATATCGTCTGAATGGCCCCTATCGTCTTGAAAATGCAGCTAACTACAAGGCGCATTTAATATCTATGAAGTGATCATAATTGGAGAAATTAATATAACTGATGAAAAAGTGTGTCTAACTGATCTAAAAAGTGTGGGCTGATACGTGGCAGCTGCGGTTTAATGCTGACAAGTGTAAAGTACTTCACCTCGGGAAGAACAATGAACAGCAAGATTACAGTATGAGAAGACATGGTTGCAACGAGAGAGTAATGATTGAAAAGTATAGTGTGGAAAAAGATCTCGGATATCGCCAGTCATGAAAAGATCCGGTCAAATGACACGAGTTTAGATCTATGAACAAGGCACGAAATGGAAAAGAATCGGCGACAGGCCACATCAGGCCTACACTTCAGAGCCGACATCACTATGTTATGTTATGTTATGTCTAAATTAGAAATATTTTCAAATAGTTGAAGGGAGACTTCTTCGCATTGTGAATACATCGATCGCATTGTGAATATAATAATATAGCGGTTTCAGCGTTTGGCCTGTCGCCGATTCTTAACATGGCAGAACCTCCACTTTGTTGCGGGCTTGAACTCGCAACTCGCTGCTTCAAATTTTCTCTGCTTAATTAACCGCCCGGCCTCCTTGCCGATTCTGACCAGAAACTGGCGCACCGAGATGGGATCGAAACCGCGCCTCTCTGCTCCAATCTTGGTACTGAATTTAACCACTGGTCAATTTAATATAATTTTCCTTAAAATTAACATTTAGAATTTCAATAAAAATGAAATTCAATATGCAATTTACTTTAATCTTTCACATTAAAAGGATGTATCATTCTAGTTATTCATAAGTAACGAACGACTTTTAGTAATTTGCAAGCGATTGCTGGGGGCATGAACTACTGCTGACAAAAAGCATCGGACATCACTGAAGCCAGCACACGTTTAGCTGCGTTCCCGTTCAACTTATCATTTTAAAATGGTAAAAAAATTGGGACCGGCGTTGAGAACCAAAAGAGTTATCATAGCTCCCGTCCGGACGTGAGGCGAGTAGTGAAGAACAAAGTTTCAGAAAGTGGACAAAAGAAGAAGTTATCATAGATAAATGGAAAGCATATCAGGCTCATTAAAGATTGAGAGTGCACCACGTACATAAGTTCCATTCATACTGGTACCTATGTGTTAGCGCACTTCCTGTTACAACTGAAGAATACGGAGACGTAGTGGTTATTGTCTGTGGTCGCCTCCAGAAAACGGCTCACTCCGACAATCCACTACAAGAGTGATACGTATAACACAGATACTAAACATTGAACATTAGTACTCAGGAAGTGTTAATTTCATTGACCTTGGCCTTCATAATATACTGCAGCATGACTTCGAAACATTCAGCACAAATATGAACTTCATCACGAAACTTGAGAAGATTAATGCATTCAGGATCTGCGATATCCATTCGTAAGTAAGCTTTGTCTTCGTCGAATTAGCAATCGCGCCAGTTATACAGAGATTTTTAGTTTTGAATTTGGATGAGCTTGCGTGCCGAGTATTAAAATAAATTTAGTGAAAAAAAAAAACAGAACGAAGAGCGACAAAACCGGTAACTGTTACTAAAGAGAATCTAATAATATTAATTGAATTAATCCGATTATCTACATGGACAACTGAGCACAGGAGCGGCAAAGTATACTCAATTCAATACTGTATAGGTTACGGCTCGATACTCTCCCTACAAAGAAATAATGTCTAGATTGCATTTCTTAACAAAAACTTAGTTAATCAAACTAATTTCAAATTAAATTACAGAAGAACAGGAACACAGATCACGTCTAAACATTCCTTAAGAGTTAAGACATACCTCTGAAAGTGCTGAGTTTCACCACACTAATACTTGCACGTCGACCCCAAGTAAGTCCACTAAACGTTGCACGCTGCTACGGGTTTGTCTACAACCCGCTCTATTAGTTCGAGACCTATTACTACAGTTTCTTTCCTTCTTCTTTCTCGCTTCAAAAGAAATCATGAATATTAGTTCAAATATATTCTAATGAACCTGCATACTTCAAAACAATAGAGTACGATTCAGGCTTCGCTGAGTGACGTATCAGTGCATTGTGAGATACGAACTTATTATTCTCTCGTTTCATGATAGTTATCGGTCCCTCGGATGCAAGGTTACTCCTGTTACCAATAAATGGCTAGTTTAAATTATCTTGCAACATTGCATCTTATTCGTGGATCTCAATTTTTTCTGAGTTTTTAAATCGCACTTTCCTTTCCTTAATGCTGGCTTTTCCGTACATTGGTCGATGAAGGCATATTTTCCAATCTTCGTTCCCGAGGCGTCCTATGGACTCGATAAACTAAATTAAGGCGGGGGCTTCACACAAGTGGGAGGATTGTTTCTAGAGCGATATCGAAGTATTACTATTCCAAATTTCTCTTCGAACACTGATCAAAAATCGCTTTTATCGCGTGACTGGTAAATTGTCTTCTTGAAGGAAGGGAACATCAGTAGAGGCAGCGAAATCCACAGCGTCGTTAGAGATTAGCTTTCAGAATCGTACGAGTTGTTCATGATCTCCAGGCATATTTTAGACGTGAGTAAACACATGAACAACTCATTATCTGTCACTCATCTTGCATTGTCTGTACAAGAGATAACGTTGCAGACGATAAGATATCATGGTCATTTTTCATTGCTCTGCATTCGAACGTACGATAGATAGTCGGTCCATGGACTGGTTGTGTGCCAGTGCCGTGGTGGAGGCCTGAATTGTAGCTTTTTACATGTTTCGTTGCTTAATTAACTATGCAGTGTCGCTTACTAAATTAATTATAAGCTGCAAGTGAGGCTAAAGAAGGGTTCTCGTGACAATATTCCATTCATGCCGTCAAGCATGCCGCAATGCCGTTGCTTACCATGTTTTATACAATGTTGCGCTACTATGGATATGAAACAAAATTATGTATATGAAATTCTTGTCGATTCCGTCTCAATTATAATGTGCGCCTTTCTTAAATTAGTTTATCTAATAGTGCCCATTGTACGTATTTTTAATCTCATATTGCAATGTGTGAAAATTAGATCGTGCTGAGGCAAAATCGATGTACTGTAAAACTTGTATATATGTTATTGTTGCGTCCGCGATTTAATTCTGGACTGATTAGATAGCAAGGAAGACTTCCATTGAGGTTTTAAATCTAAATCTGTCTATATTTATGCTGCCTGGTAAGTAGAGGCGTGCTGCTGACGTGTTATTTCACCGAATCGAATTCAATAATGCGTTAATTTTATCGCATGTTTTACTATAGGCTAAATGTAGCTCTACTCATTAGCTGTTCCCGGGAGAATCAAATTATTATTTTAGTTTAATGCTGTTGTCGTGATATGAAAATTTACTTTCCTACTTAAGAACATTCTAGAAAAATTATTATATGACAATTTTGTGCAAATTGACAAGATAAGTTTACTAAAGCAGCGGTGTTTTTGGACTAAGATATACATACCCAATTTATATAATCATGGGAGAAGGTCCTGATCCTGTGCCGAACGGTCAGGACAATTCTGCAATGCCCGACATAGATAAATCGTATAATGGTGAGTCTTCCTTAATGAATAACAGGAAAATATCTAATGACTGTTCTAAATAAACTTATTTGTTAGTGTTCTTATTATAGTATAGTAAATATTCATTGTCTTTCATAGGCAGCGAACTGATTTATGATGGGTTCTTCGAGAGGAAACGCCATTTTCCTCTTTGACGTTATTATTTTTAATTACATTTTTCCATTTAGTGTTGGTCATATATTCATAAAAACCGAAATGCTTCAAGTAATTCAGTTTTTTTAATGCTTGAGGTGCACGTACGGCCAAACGAAATTTTTGGTGAAAATTTCTTTTTAAGTAGGAGAATGTGCCATTGCCGTGCTGACCTAATAATTATCCGAAAACATTTCGACTGACCGAGCGACCGAACGCAATAAATTCTCGAATTTTCACGTATAAAGCCTAACAAATTACACAATTTTAATCTTAAGGAGGTCACTTGGCTACATGCACTTGACGATGTCTGGGTATCGTCGCTGCTGAGATTACCATCAGCAGAGTAGACCAGTGTATAGAGTTGAGTACCATGAATTGGAGCATTGAGAAGTGGGTTCGATCCCAGCTACTTGCGACAGTTCTGCGTGGTGGCCGGGCGGTTTAGCACATAAAATTTGAAGCAGTGAGTTGCGTGTTAGACACCCGCAACAAGCTCTGTAAATTCTGCGATGTTTAGAAATCAGCGACAGATCTAATGGCCTAAACAACGCTGACACCGTTATTTATTGATATATCATTCATTTATTTCCTCATTGGCTTAGCACCGCTCGTCTCGCTGTACAGGGACATGCACCTGCCCTCTGGCGAAAGACCACGCGGAGATGCGGCTGGCTCATACGGAGCGGCTACCCATGAGGGCGCAAGAAGCTTACAAGCTCGTCTTCCAGCAAGAGAAGTTCATGCTGGACGTACTGGCCTCCAGGAAGGCTACCAGTCAGTCTCATTATTGCCATTGTTTGGTTTTGGTTACAGTAAAATTTGGCTCGCTTAAATAAATTTCCAGCAATTTTCAAGACAATTTTGCTCGTCTTCCAGCAGAAGTTCATGCTGGACGTGCTCGCCTCCAGGAAGGCTACCAGTCAGTGTCATTATTGCCATTGTTTGGTTTTGGTTACGGTAAAATTTGGCTCGCTTAAAAAAGTTTTCAGCAATTTTCTTAGATATTAATATCAAGTACGCACTTACTATGATATTAGCATATTACTGGCACAATTTCAGTCATGGAAGAATTTATTTTAAAAATATTACCTTTCTGAAACATTGTCTAGTGCATAGTATCATTTTGACGTTGTTGCTAATTAGTTATGATTAGCACGAGTCAAGGATAAGGAACTAAAGCGACAAGCAAAATGAGTCAGCTCAAATTATTTTACTCACACTGTCCGTGAGAACACATTGATACGGCCACGGTAGATTGATTTTTATATTCATGCTGCCTATCAGCTGTTCCACCTACTCAGGTCGAGCAGCGGCTATATAATCTTTCTTTTTAGCGCATTTTCTCATTTATGGAAAAAATGCACTATTATGCTCGTCATGTCCGTCCGTCTGTCTGTCCGTCCGTGACTTCACGTTTTCGTCGACGAGAAAATGCGCTCTCTGTCACTCACTGCTGTGAGTACTGAGTTATATATTTTGATTATTTAGTGTATTACCTTGATTTGATGAAAGGAATGTGAATGCAATTTTCTCTCTACACAACCAAAATACATATTTGAGGTAATTCTGGTGCTTTGAATCAGAAATTATTACAACAGGAAAACACGTAAGCAGGTGAGTCTTCATGAATAACCGTGCAATTTTTGAAAATTATGTCATGTAAAATTGACTAAAATCTATGGACGTCAGATTACGCGGCTACACCGTGGTCTCCAGATCCCCAGTCGAAGTTGCCACGACGAAGCATCACCTACGACTGCCCTATTCCTCTCACGAGCAAGATGTCCCACTGCTCTGAAACTCAGGTACCTCATTGTGGTATTTTTAAAACCATTTTCGGGACCACCGCGTAGGTTTGCATCGCTTTAACCTAATTTTGGTGGCACAAACTGCGTTCACTGCAGCGAGCAGTACTAGCTAGCTTCTCCATTGCCGAGAGCGCACTAGACTGAGGGAAAGTTTGAGTAGTGTGGACGCTCGTCAGTCGTCCATCTTGTCGGTCAAACTTTGGACTGACATGCAAGACTGACGATAAGTTTGCGCGTGTGGAAACAGCTTAACTCATACTCAACTACTGAAAATCTGAGCACGGATACCTGCAGTAAATGCAATGTTACTAGGGCAGTTCATAGAAATACTAGGGCAGTTCATATAGCTTTCTATCTCACATTTAAATAGAACCGAGGCTTGGGAGTGAAAGCAATTTTGAATATCAGCTAATGCTATTACTTAAGGAATAAAAGTCTCTATAGCTATCGGGATTCAAGAGTTTTGTCATACAGGCATGATACAGTAATTATTGCACTTCATATGAGAGTCAATCCCAATTTTCCCCGCCATGTTGCTATCTCATCGAGTCGCCGGGGTTGTGAACACAAAAATTACAAATAGACGGTAAGAGGTAATTTTAAACGTTTTTCAATACATAATTTCAGTATTTCCATCAAACACTACGGGAAATAACAATATCAAACATGTTGTTTCGGTTCCTCAAACAAAAGAATTTGTTAGTTATGAGTTTCGTGCGTAGTTTTCACATCAAGTATGTTCAGACGATGTCTAACCTACCCGAGCTAGAGAAGTTTAATTGGCCACCATACTACGTAGTTTTCACATCAATTATGTTCAGACGATGTCTCACCTTACCCGAGCTGGAGAAGTTAATTAACGCAGTCACCATCTTACATAGTTTTCACATCAATTATGTTCAGACGATGTGTAACCTAACCCGAGCTGGAGAAGTTTACGCTGTCACCATCTTACGTTGTTTTCACATCAATTATGTTCAGACGATGTCTAACCTAACCCGAGCTGGAGAAGTTTACGTGGTTACCATCCATTAGAAAAGTACCAGGTAACAGTTACAGACAATTAATTTTGGTTCTTACGTAGTTTTCACATCAATTATCTTCAGACGATGTCTAACCTAACCCGAGCTGGAGAAGTTTACGTGGTCAACAATGAGGTAAACAACGAAGGAGTTCCGTTCGCCGACTCGTTCTACATCAGCGTCCACATTTGCATCGTACGAGTCTCAGCCGCGGACGTGCAAGACGATGTCATCGCTGGAGTCACGGAGTGGTGTCAGTACTCCTGCTACTCCAGCGTACAGTACAAGAAGAGCGTCTGGGGAGTCCTTAAAGGTATATATAAGGATATAAACAACGAAAAAACTGTTCTGATAGTAAAAAGTATACGCTTTAATGGCGCTTTATCTTCCAATTCATTATTAAAGAGATTAGTGTTCATGTTTTCATTTGTGTTAAAATGTGTTATCTTGGTGTTGTTCACTGGCTTCAATTTGACGGAAGACATAAACTATAGTGAATAAGTTGAATAAACTACACGACTTACTTATATTTTTTCTGATTAAACTCAGCAAAACATAAACTACGATTTAAATGTGTCAAAGTTTATTATAAATTCTGACCTCAGACCTCAGAATCCAGTGATATTCTTGTTACCTTGATGTGCTCTCGAAACTTTCAATATTAATATTAAACTGTCTTAAATTTAAGCATTTGTACTAAGATCTTTATTTTGATTGGTAAATAACACTTATGTTGAATGCTTTGAACTCTTGCATTGTCTGGTAAATAACATTCGTGTTGAATGCTCTGAACTCTTTAATTGTCAGGTAAATAAAATTTTGTTGAATGCTTTGAATTCTTGAATTGTCAGGTAAATAACCTTGTGTCGAATGCTCTTGAATTGTCAGGTAAATAATATTTATTTCGAATGCTCTGAACTCTTGAATTGTCTGGTAAACAACCTTGAGTTTAATGCTTTGAACTCATTAATTATCCGGTAAATAAAATTTGTGTTGAATGCTTTGAACTCTTGAATTGTCAGGTAAATAACATTTATTTCGAATGCTCTGAACTCTTGAATTGTCAGGTAAATAAAATTTTGTTGAATGCTTTAAATTCTTGAATTGTCAGGTAAATAACCTTGTGTCGAATGCTTTGAACTCTTGCATTGTCTGGTAAATAATATTTATTTGGAATGCTGCGAAGTCTTGAATTGTCTGGTAAATAACATTTATTTCGAATGCTCTGAACTCTTGAATTGTCTGGTAAATAACCTTGCGTTTAATGCTTTGAACTAATTATTTGTCCGGTAAATAAAATTTGTGTTGAATGCTTTGAACTCTTGAATTGTCAGGTAATTAATATTTATTTCTAATGCTCTTAACTCTTAAATTGTCAGGTAAATAATATTTATTTCGAATGCTCTGAACTCTTGAATTGTCTGGTAAACAACCTTGCGTTTAATGCTTTGAACTCTTGAATCGTCAGGTCAGTTGGAGCGTGCCACTTACTCCGGCATGGAGGGCATCCATCGCGATGTTGCGGCGGCGTTGAGAGACTATGCCATCGGTTCCATGTCTGCTTCAGACGTACGCGCTGCCAAAGCTATCGGACAGAACGCACGGAAGAAGAAGAGATCGAAAACGACATCTAGCGACTTCGGCCACTCCAACAAGAAAACAAAAGATGATGCGCAGAGTAAGTTATAATATTGCCTAACGTCCGAAATGCACAAAAAGCTATCATGGATCGTTGTTATGTAGGAATGTTTGGATAATGCCTCCGAATGTTTTAATGTGTTTAATATATAATAGGAAGTTTTTCTGCGCCACTTTTTCCAGGTGCTCCTTGGTTTAATTTTTTGGTTTCTATATATTTATGCGAAACATTAATCATGCAAGCGCAACTCACTAATCGTGCATGTATAGATGCTCTAACAGTTAAATTAAACCCTTTACCGCCGTATGCCACTCTCCGGGAACATAACTTTCAACTTAACTTATACGTAAACTATTGAGTGTAGCAACCTGAGGACATTTGTACGCAACAGAGAACATTTTAAAGTTGTCGTACGTGGCGGCAACCATCAGTGCAAGTCATTTTGCGCTCACTAGAACGTATTCTTTTTGGGAAGTAGGCGCGTGACAATGTTGCTCCGGTTACTAATGTCAGGCGGCAGAGGGTTTAGACGCATAATTTGGGTAGATAAACTTGCAACTCTGCGGAGAAGTTATGAATGTTATCTCAACCAAGATTATAATTTTTCAGTTTTAAATGCAGGTGAATGCTCGTATATTGCAGACCTATACGCTGTCACAGAAAGCTAGTGATAATGAACGTTCAAAAAACTTAAGCACCGTAGATTTTTATGTGATATATTATAACATTTTATACCTAATCCCATACAACCATCTTAGACCAGCTTTTTATTTTATTTTTAATGTTTTAATATATTCATTGTTTTTCTGAAGAATCAATCACAACATGAAGAGCGTTATCTGAACGCAAACGCTGGCGTGGATGTTTTGGCAATCGCTTCTAGCGACTTCATAGCATTGAATTAACTTTATTTTTTTCCGTAGGAATAAGCTGGGCTCACGGTATCCTCAACACTTCACTTGTGCTCTCCGCGTTGCTGCTGGTGGTTCTCAACGTGAATCTCTTCGCTAAAGTTCAGTACTTGGAAACCGTTTCCAAAAATCTGACGCTGGCAAGCCACTGTCCAGCTTTACTTGCAACGCCGTTTACGGATCAGCTTCTCACATCAGACCCGAAGTGAGTTGTGCTGTAAAAAGTTACTCAATGTACAAAAATATAACTCCGTACTCACTGCAGTGAGTGACAGAGAGCGCATTTTCCCGTCGACGAAAACGTGAAGTCACGGACGGACAGACAGACAGACGGACGGACGGACATGGTGAGCTCAATAGCGCCTTTTTTCCATAAATGAGAAAATGCGCTAAAATGTTAATTATATACTTCATTTAGAAGGTAATTGTTGAGCTAGGATGTTATTTCTGTAAGAGGTTAATACAGTCTTTCAGACGTTAATAATTCCTTTGGTAAGCAAAGGATTCTAACAGATTTCTCAAAACGAGCTTAAGTGTCGAAACTTGCTTGTACGGCATTGCGAGTTGCTATGCTGCTCAACTCGCATGCATAGATATAAGCATCATTTGTCGTTGAGGCATCGACAAGTTTATATTATTAAGTGTTGACAAATCTGTAGAGCAAGGCGTGTCCCTAGTGCAGTAGTTCCTAGCTCACATAACAGTTCCCAGGCATCGGTACGTGTTGCGTAAGACCTGAGAACAATATTTTCATCGTGCAGAGTTTTTAAAGAATCTTCCAGCCAATACGATTTGCGAAAATATTTTGAAAATGTGGTTCAAACGTGCGCTTCATAGGTAGCGGATACTTATTTGGCAGCTCCTGTTCTTTTGTTGAAGTTTCAAAGTCTAGTATATTTAAAAGAGTAAGTGGTAAAACGTTTCTTTAATTTTTTTGCTGGTATCTAAACTGTCAGTAAAATGAACCGAAAACTAGTGTTGGTTTCCAAAAACCGACCCCGCTTCTCTGTTGTCGTGTGGGGAACTAATACGATTTCTTCATAAAACAAAACAATGTTCAAATAATTGTGGTGTAACCAAATATTGTGACCAAAATTTAGTAAATTTTGAATTTAAGGGAAACGTCACTGTAGCTACCAACAAAGTTTATTGCCTATTTTAGCTCAATTTTTGCGCAGCAGCGATGATCCTCAAGAAATTTGGGAACTAGTGAAGAATTTACTGGCGTCACAAAAAGCAAGTTATTCTGCTGAGCTGCAGCAGATGGGAAGCCACTTGCTGCAGGCCACTCGGGCACTGGATCAGGTAATCTGAATTTGATTAGTTCTACTGCCATTAATATAGTACCAATTTCAGACGACCCCGTTGTAGCAGTACTGCCTTTGTTAACAAGATCAGATCATTGGTAGAACATTTGCCTTTTTAATAATAACGAGATCTGTTATTATTTGATTTCTTGCTAGCGGTTACTGCAGTGCACCGTTGAGAAAACAAGATTGTTTTATAACCTAACCCAATGTCCGAGTTTTTTTTTAGCGATCGAGTGTCACTCGGAGGTCCCATAGATTTGCTGCATTTCCCGTGATGCTCTGGTTGTCCTAGTAGTATTTCTGAACAGCCGCTAATCTTTAGTAATAAATGTATATTATATTAATTGATGAGTTGATAATTGGTGTATTAGATAAGGGTATGCATCAAGCAACTGCAATAGGTTTGCATTTAACGATCAGCCGCTGGTCCCGGAAGGTGCCGGAAGACAGAAGTTGCGTATCGGCTCCAGATTACTGTTCGTTTTGGCAATTTGTAAAGTAGAAAATATCCAACTAAAAATCGCTCACTATCTTGAAAGTGCAGCACTATTGCGGCGTCGTGTAGGTTTGCCTCAGCGTGTGCTTTCTTACAAAAAAAAAAAACCTTCATACCTCAAAACCTTCATTTCATTTTTTTTTCAGGTACGATTAGTAAGCCTTTGCCGATATAACTATTTTGTAATAAAAATTAATGAAACTATGGTAAATTTATGAAATTAATTGTATTCATATTCGAATACGACAGGCTGACTCAGAGCTGCATATCGTTCTGGACCGTCTTCCACATTCCTTGGATGTCCTCGCGGACGCTGTGAAAGAACATATTCGAGAAGAACAAGTCATGGGGAAGATCAGCGACGTGTTCAAGCGCATCGAAACGCGCCAGCTTGACAACAAAGCCCAAACATAACAGTGTGGTGACCACTGGAAAATGTTTCTTTTGTCTACGGTAATTATAAGTGAATCCTGTTAAAAATGGAGGAAAGGCATTCCTTGCCTCAAAAGTTTATGGTTGCACGTACGTATCACCTGTTGAGAATATAGGAACGGGCACATATATTTTTCTAATTAACTGGAAGGTAACAAAACATCGCCGAAGTGTTAAAAAGATTTATTGTTACTACACCGACATAAGAGAGAGGCTCAACTAAGTAAAATGAACTGCAATAAATATAAAGACCATTTTAAATTTCTGATTTTGTAGTGAACGGCCTGATCTAACACTCATTACAAAAATAATGTACAGCGAGAAAGCGCTTAACCTAGTGTCATGATCAACTTGAGAGAGCCGTGTCGGAGTGTGAAAAAATCCTTGTGCGTTTTTAATTTCGTACCACGTCTTGTTAGTGGAACACCAGTGGTTGTTGACATGAAATGCCTTCATTTTTGACAAAAGGAAACGTATAAAATAACCTCAAAATTGTTAAAAGGCACGCAACATCATAGGAAATTCTAGTCTCGAAGGGTTTTGAAGTAATGAGACAATCATATTACAACAAATTACAATCCTTTCATGCGGATTTTATTTTGAAAGTGCAACTCGGGATTCCGCTTCGAAAAAATTATTCTTGCTTAGTGAAGCCGTCAACAACCACAAGTCCTGTCACAAGACGTGGCGTCGGATGCTATAGACCGAAAAAGTGAAAAACTTAAATCTAAAAAATTTTATAACGTAGTAGCAAGTTACAGATAGAAAGAGAGAGATCTAATCTCAGACCGATTGATGCCGAATCGTAAAACTCCAAGTTTGCTTCCTCCATCTTTACTGGAGGAGACCTTGATCCTTCGACAACAATGACCGAGATAGGGGACGATTAAGTAGTATTATTTACGCGGAGTACAGCCTAAACATTGATCCTCAACGAAACTCGACGAGTCGGGTCATCAATAGTAAGTAGTAAAACATTCATATAATGGAGACTCATCACAATTCATCAGCTTTAATTAAAATATTCAGTTAAGATATTTTGCTGCGCATGGAAAGGTGTTCCCCGTTCTATATCACTCCCCGCTTCAGTTGTTTTGCTATAGTTTCTTGCAAAGAGCACGTCTCCAAAACAGCCGTTTGAAATCTTAGATAACTATAGCTCAAGTTACTCAACGCAGGGATACCTTCAACTTAATAACCATGAAGAAGGCGTATTTTGAAGTGCAGATAAACAATATTCGTTTGCGCGGTTCCTATGTGGGAACGAATTAAGCGATTCAATCTCAAGAGCATTAACGCTGACTGAGCCTCGTTGGCGAAACTGAAGTACACTGGAATTACACGGCCAATTGATTAAGTTGACCCTCGTGGAAGGGTATTTATATCGACGATGACCTATGGTACACTAACAGACAAGCCTAGAGTTGGACATTTAGCAAGCATTTAAAAGAATTAACACGCAAGGGCAATATGTCACGTTGGGAACACCAGTTTCTTGACGAAATTATCCAAAAACCGTCAACCTCATTCAACTATTACAGCACTACTGAAGTGAGCAATAATCAATTATCTATAATCATATGCAGCGCTCACAATACTGGCGCATTCTCATTTCTTCACGGCCATACACACAAAAGGTTTGCTCACATTTGCAAGCGGCGTCGGCCAATTTCCTAGTTAAAATTATGGTTTTATTTTTTTACGCAAAAATAAGCTCAAAATGGCTGGTCTTTCATACGCAAATAGAAGAGTATTTTTATTTATAGACAAGAAAAGAAAAATTTTACAGGAATTCATCTACGTGCAATCTTCATCAAAATCCAATTTAGTCAGAACCATAAAAAATCCGCCATTGAAAATGAAGGCAAGCTCGCCCCCAAGTGTCATTATTTAATAGGCAAAAAACCAGTCTTCCACATTAAAACCAAACGAGTTCAGATACAATAACAGCTTCGCAGCCCTCGTACTCAAGTTCAGATAAAAACGAGCGTTTACGGACAGACGTGATGAGTATATTGTAACGTATACGAGAACAGTCAGAAGCTAAGACCGCATTGAAAAAAATAACTTTATTCTTTAGAAATATCAGAGAGCTAGAATACGATGCACTTAAAACTAGTTCATTTGGGAAATCCGCGGCGCCGAACTGAACGACACGGAAAAACAATCTGAGCGCTTGCTGGGATAAACCTCATTTGTTCGAGATAGCAAGTTGGACACAAAGTTATCAAATGAAGAGCTGATTTACGAATCCTAAAATTTCAGGCCTTAATACGGAACTCTGGAGGAGTTCAGTAGCATAGTTCCACACTCAAATGTAGTGAACAATTTTACGTAGTAAACAAATCCAGTAATAGGAAGCGTAAACCAATGGCAAGTAGATATAGCATTTCATTGCGTTTAATTACCATTTAGATAAAACGAAGAGATCAAGGGAAAGAGGAGATAATATTTGGATGCTTAAGGCAAGCGCAAAACTAACAAAAAGACAGGTCAGGTTTCGTTATCCAAACTTGAGTGGGCAAAAATGCCAAGGAATGCTCGACTCGAGAGCTTCAAATGCCCCCAAAGAATCAAAATTGTTCTGTCTAAAGGCCAAAAGAAGCAAAGGCTGCCAAGTGAGCGCTTTCTAGTTGGGACTTAACAATTACTATACAAAAGGGGTGAAGATTCGCTGTATGAAACAAGCTAAAACTCCAAATAAAGTAAAGCTCCTTTCAATTTTAACACCTACTTCGTTATCGTATAATACAAATTGATTTGGTTTACTCTTCATAATCCATATTATCATTGTAGTCGCAATCCTCATCTGCACTTTTGTTACAAAAAAATCATGGGCAACTTTTCAGCCACAGAAACAGTTTACTTTTCCTTCTCTTCGGTTTTCTTGTTGTCATCTTTATCTGCAGCGTCCTCTTCTTTTTGAGCCTTCTCTTTCTCATCAGTCTCCTTCTCCTCTTCCTTCTTTTTCTCTTCCTTGACGTCCTCCTTCTTCTCCTTGGCTTCTTCCTTTTCTTCCTTCTTCTTTTCCTCCTCAGGAGGAGGCTTGGGGAGATGGGAGTTCAAGTCCAATGTCGAGCACATCTCCTCCCAGTCGGGGAAGGCGCGATCCTTGAGGCGGTCACAGAAGCCCTTGAGGTTGGCGCAGTTCTCCAGCAGCCAGTCGCGCAGGCTGTAGCTCACCTCGGGGTCCATGTACACCAACTGCGCCAGGTTCGCGAACGCAACCACGTCAAGCTGAAAAAAATTGGAATTAAATTACATAATTCGGTTATCCAGACACAATTTATTCAAGGACACAATTGTATGTTATTATAAAATTGTTAATTAGATATTAGTTGTTAATTAGAAGCCATTGTATCACGGTTTCAATAGTTTTAATGATACTGAAATATGATATCTCTCAGATTCGTGATAGAAATTTTTATTCTAACAAATTTTAGATGAAAACGATGAATAAGTCGAAAAAATTCGAACACTAGTCTATCATCAAGATAAATAAATTATGAAGCAAAAAACGGCCGTGATATAACGAATTTCTGGCTAACCTCGCTGCATAAATGATCAAGAAAGAACGACGTCGGCCATGATTCCCTATCACATCAAAGCAAAACGTGACGCATAAAAGCCATTAACGATTAGAGCGAAGAAAGGCAAAGACACGATGCGTTCATATCACTGTTGTGGGAGGCGCCTGGTGAATAAATGAGTAGGCAAGCAGCGTGCTTGGAGCGTGAGTCAACGGATGACTCACACAGATCAATATTCCTAAGGTTTACATTGCCCTCATCGAGGCGTTAACACACTAGACATCTTGAGGGCGACTTGAGGGTGACTTAGGAGGTGGAACACATGCGGCGAATTACCGGATGTCCATTGAGAGGTGTTTAGGATGATTAATTTTTGGCTAAAAAATACGGTTTACGGTCAATACTATCGAAAAAAGTACGGTCAACACTTAATTGAATTTAATCCTAAAATTGCAACCTGTTGAACAGTCAATAATAACCACCGTCGCATTCAAGTAAATTCTTAATGATTTCCTGATTAATTGTGCGGGGCAGAACTCGTAATTCAGTTTGTCTTTGCAATCGTTCATTTCGGTTCGTCTTTGCAATCGTTTATTTCGGTTATGTCTTTGCAATCGTTTATTTCGGTTTTTTCTTCGCAATCGTTTATTTCGGTTATGTCTTTGCAATCGTTTATTTCAGATTCCGTCTTTGCAATCGTTTATTTCAACGTTTATTCAAGTTTCTGTCTTTGCAATGGTTTATTTCGGCCTCTGTATTTGCAATCGTTTATTTCTGTTTCTGTCTTTGTAATCGTTTATTTCAACGATCACCTCTGCGAATTCAAGACAAATTTCTGTCGCCACGATCCCCTCCCAACAAAGCCCCGCCCAGCGACCTTTCCCGACTCGTCATCAATCGATGGTGACTCAGGCAAACGCTGCATTCTGCACGGCGCCGAACTTGCGGCATCTCTTCACATCGCGTGAGACGAGGCTTAGAAAATAAGTTTTAATGGGGTTACACCGTCGTTGAGCGCGCAAACGTTCGAAATACATGAAGAACGCCAAAAAAATATAACTCGGTACTCACTGCAGCGAGTGAGAGTGCATTTTCTAGTCGATGAAAACGTGGTCACGGACGGACAGACAGACGGACGGACATGACGAGCACAATAGCGCCTTTTTTCCATAAATGAGAAAATGAGCTAAAAAGCAAGATATAGCAAAATTCTTGAAAATATAGACACAATTAATTCTTTCCGTAGCTAAGTTTGAGGTTATCCGTGTTTGTACATTGTAAGGAAACATGAGCATAATGCTCTCACATTTCGCGACTTGGTTAAGTAAAGCGTGAAATTAATTCAGCCACAAGATTAAGAGATTAATTCAGCCACAAGATTAAGAGATTAATTCAGCCACAAGATTAAGAGATTAATTCAGCCACAAGATTAAGAGATTAATTCAGCCACAAGCCAAGAATTGCCACATTCATTACGAAGTCGCACTTCGCATGTAGGAAATTCGAATATTAAAAAAAGTCCAGCTTTAGACGATGGTACGTTTGCGAATACAGTGACTGGTTAAAGAGTACAACAGAAGCACGCGGAAAGGATAAGACAAATATCCCAAATGAGAAGATGTAGCTTAAAACTCAAATCAAGGCTAAATTCACCAAATGAATTATAATTATTATTATTTGAAGGTGATTATTAATACGTTGGGACAAAGAATTGAGCACGTGTTGAGTGTGTGAATTGCTAAATTGAGCATGAATTGAGCAAAAGAATTGAGCATGTGTTGTACTTTCTACAACACGTTAGTTGCAGTTGGGTAAAGGATCATTAGCGAATGGACTCTCGCCTTTCAAAAAAGGACTTACAGTGGATGGAGTCTCGCCGAAGAAGAACTGCTTGTCGCCGAGCAGGTCGCTGAGAACCTTGAGGTCATTCTGGCCGAACTCTTCGATCTCCTCAGGCTTGTGGACGCCGATGCCGTGAGCGCGAACTTTCTTGGCAGCCTGCGAGAACACAATGTTCATAGAACAGGAACGAAGGATTCTTTAAAATTAAGTATTATAAATTCGTAAAACTAGTGTTTATGTATGGCATATATTGAGAACAAAGATTTGTGTGAATATTAATTCTGAATTAATACAAGGACCGTTTAGTATTATAAACTCATAAAATGAGTGTTTATGTATGGCATATTTTCAAAACAAAGATTTGTGTGAATATAAACAAATATTTGAAAATACCACCAGACGGTGATGGTGATTAAAGCATTTAGTATCGAGTAGAATATCAATTTTGAATTAATACAAGGACCGTTTAGTACGTAATTTTGATGTCAGGTCTGATGTAATAATTTAGAGGCAATAGTGAAGTTAAAAACTAAAACATGTAACTGAATTCTAATTGAATTAATATTAACAAAGCGCTCACGAGAATCACTTAATCTTTAACTTGAGAAATGATTGATCAATGCGTCAAAAAATTCAGACAAAATGCAAAAATTATCTGCCATGACTGGTATGAACCACACAAGATTGAGCAAAACATTCAATTTACAGAGCACGAAAAATCAAAATGAATGAATACATCCATCAATCAACATTTAACTAATCTCTTCATAAAATTAACTGGTAGTTATTTTATAAGACAACATATACTTACGTGAAACATTTATATACATAAACTGCCGTACTCACAAGGATACAAGACAAACAACAGAGACCGAACTGAAGTTAACAATAGGAAACTTAAACGGGGTGACATCAACGTCTTAATGAGATACAGGAACAGATTTTAATACTTGAATACCAGGCCGATCAACAGTTGATGACACCAGAAACATGAACAACAGCATATACTGCCAACAGGGATAGAAAGACTTGCTAGAACTGACTAGAAAACTTTCTCAACGAACAAATTGCAACAATATATTTTAATATTTGAAAAACATTTCCGAGCAGCTGGACACCTCATGATTGCTTCACACCAGAACCAGGAAATCAACAACAACAACAACTATTAACCGATGAAGAAACACTTGCTACAGCCGATGCAAAAACTTTCCCAATCGACGAACATATCTCTACTCAACTAACCCGATACTACTTAGGACGAAAAGCAATCTTTTTCGTAGGGAAAAATATGCATTTGTTTCGAACGCCCCCTCGGAACTTCCTCCATCAGTACCTTTATTTATGCTCTTTATCAGCCACGATTCAAGTTCTCAAACGAATTTGTGACAGCAAAGGAGCTGAATTATTTTTTTTAACCAATGACGTTACTTTACAGTGCATGGAACTACAGTTATTTCAGATTCCATCGAGGTGGCTACGTGTTATCAGATACGGACGCCACCAAATCGTGGAGATAATCTAGGTAAACAATCCTGATCGATAAAATACAACACAGCTATAGGTAAAACGGGATCGGATAACGAATTATTAGTTAGATTCCATGTTTTGAATATTCCATCTGATTTTGAATATTTGACTTTAATAGGATGCAGTTTACTTACCCTCCTCAGGAAAAATTTATAAACTGCGTTGAGGATCGCATTTGGTAACTTAGTGCCGGTAGCTGCTCTGATATCGACTTTATAAGCCTTCAGCATGCGACCAGGGTGCTGTGAGCGCCAAGACTTGACCACCCTGTTGTGTTTTGTAGTTTATTACGAATAATCACGAAACAATTACGGGTAAATTGAGACCCAATGCGCCGGGTCAAGGCCAGTAAGACCGAAATACCACAGTAGGAGTCGACAATGCAACAACAACATCATGTTATCGCAAAATCAATAGTCAATAGAGTGCATCAGCGATTGAACGAGATTACAATGTTGACCGATAATAACACCATGGACGTAAACAAACCAAAGCCAATCACGGAAGGGATCAATCGTAGGGGAATAATTTCAAAACAAAGGGGATCGTAGGAAAGGAAAATAAAATATGATTGAAGCGTCCAGGGTAGCAAAAACAAAAAACAACTCATCATGCCAGCGTCGAACACAACATCGAAGAATTCCATCATCCACAACATCGAAGAATTCCATCATCGTAAACAATTGAGAAAGTTCCCTCGATCAACAATCAACCAAAAATTAATACCAGTACAAACAAACAATCAATCGACAATCAACAAAAATACACAAGAACCGAAATTGAAGCCGCATCAAAAATTTGAAAATAGCAGACCTCAGCATGCAAGCAGAATAATTTTCAGGCAAACAAGCATTAATATAAGATTAACAGAGAAGATGCAGAGACCAGACAACACGTAGCATAGCATATTAAACAAAAATTAATGCAATAGCCCATCGTGCGCGATGTCCTCAGATGCAAGTAGGATGCCCAGGAAGCCGATTCCGTGACCGGAGGACAGGCACGGCAGATGCAAGCGTGCAGCATCGTAAGATAGATCGAACGCAGGCAGATCCGATCAAGGCGAAGGCAGGAAAGCAGGATGCAAACGAGCAGGATGACCAAGATGATCGATCCGTAGCACAGGCAGGCAGGGGGCAGACACGTTGGTCCAAAGCAGTAGATTGGAGAGCCAAGCCGAGGTGTGGAGGATGAGTTCGCGAATGAAAAGCGATGAAGAAAATGGGGAAATAAATATGATGAGAAATCAGACATTAAACAACTGATGAGTCAGAAAAATATAGACTGTTAAGTAGTTGCAGCCGTTGTTCTGGAGCCGGAGCACATCTATAGTGTCACCTACTTGAAGACCATCACAAAGTGCAGCAAACCAAACCATTTTTTTTTTCAAACCATTTTGGAAATTATATGAAACTTGATCGCCCAATGAATTTGCCATTTGGCGATGGCATAGTGTAATAAAAAAGGCAAAAATTTAACATACGCGTAAGAAGGACCAATAAAAAAAGTCCAGGTTGAAGGTCGAAATGCCGAGGATACTTAGCAACAATTTATAACAAACTTGTGCAAATATGTGATGGTCTTCAATTAGCAATAAGAACAATGCACACATTCAACTACAGAAAATAAAGATTATACAACATCATGATATTAATAAGTGATGCATTATAAACAAGCAAAAACTGCGAAGAACAAGTATTGAAATTAAAGAGCACATTATTAGCGAAATTATCCGTGTTAGTAAAAATATGCAATAATACGGCCAGAATATCTATGCACTAAAAGCGCTTGCATTGTTCGCAGCACCATGAGTATGTTGGCTGTTGAAAGTCGAGTGGAAGAGTTAGTTGCAAACATAAGCAGCAACTCCACAATGAAAGAACAACAGTCGTATTCTAAACTGAGGGATCCTAGTATGATCCAAGAATTCCTGGTAGTCTATAACCATGGTCTGATAAGCATAGATTTCATTTGATGAATTCATGAATGAGTTGTGGAAACACATTCATACTAATTGAGTGTCGTGTATTTAGATTTAAATTTCGTTCTAAACGTGTACCAACTAGTCATAAAATTTATTGGAAGGCGCTCAAAAATTCTGAGAGCGCTAACCGAAGATATTTATAAGATCAGTTAGCGTCAACATAATTATAACCTTTTCAAAAGCGAAATAAATAACAATTTTGTTTAAGCAACGTAAAAAAATATTTGTCATTAAAAATTATAGTCGAGTAAATTTCAGTGTGAATGCCCAACATTGGGTGATTGAGGGAACAAAAATATCGTACGATGAGTAAACGAACGCTATCTTAACATAATAAAAACGATCATTGTGTTCAGAAAATGTGAAGCGTTCAGAGAGTGGAATGAATGATGGCAATTGCTTCTACATAGGAATGCGAGGTTGAGGCGGATGTTCTTAATGGCACCTTAACACACTAACTGCATCCTGCCCGTCTGCAGAGTCACCTAATCTCCCAATGAAATACTCATTTGGTACAGAGCGCCAAGGATTAAATCTGGCGTCGGGTTGTCTTCTATAGTTGATGAAAGAAGTTGAAATAAATGTCCATTTCCTCCACGTTGTTTTCATAAGTCTATCAAAATTACCAAGCTGGACGAGAGTAAATAGGGACAGTCATGTTGTTCGGCCGTCAGGTTCCAACGAATCCTCATGCAATTTGCATTCATTCAATCAGTAAGTTGAATTATTTCTCGACAGGAGTGCGAGCTGGCAAGAAATCTACTAAATGAAACGACACACAACTCACGAACAAGCTGTTAAAAAACAAGGACGCAAGATTGTGTAACTGGACACGGAGATGCAATATCGACGAACGAACTAGAGTGCGAACATCGTCAACGTCGTAAATTACGCTAAAAGCCAGAGCACTACCAACTAAATCCGATTATTCAGGCACGGAACAGCTTCTGGATGTCTTTTATTCCCTCCTTAACTCAGCCGCAAAACGTTCAGTGTATTTTGTACAAGGTTAAACTTGGGCTCTAGATCTTCCCACATTATTGACCGGATCCAGAGGATGATAATATTAAACTTTACATCCATATGAGCGACAGGATCTGATTCATGAACATATATCATGATTCACTGCTGAATATTTGATATTTTATGAAGGAGAATTCGGCCACTAGTCAACTGGCAAGTTTGTGCTCTCTTGTCATAAGCCAAGGATTAATAGGAGCCTGAGTATTTTCCTTATAGGTTTAAACACTCAGTAGGCTCTGAAATGAAAGGCTTGGCCAACTAAGTCGTCATGGTGATAGTTGAGGAGATTTATACCAGAAGCTAATCCGTACCTAAACATTGCTAGGGATTTCGACCGAGGTAGGCCAGGCCTAAGTAGCAAGAACAGAATTAGTTTGTGGCAAGAAAAAGACCTGCTTAAACCGGAGCTTGAAGGCAAAATTGAGCACAGCGTTGGGAATGCGAGTGTTGAGCGCTTCTTGCAGGTTGAGTTTAGCAGCGCGAACCCAATCGCCAGGGCAGCGACAGCGCCACCATTTCACGACCCTAATGGTTAAATCAGCGTGAAAATGAGGCTGCTATACGTCAATATTTGCCACTTATGATCAAAGTGGCAAAACTGAAGCGTTTATTTTGCTTCCAGCGTCATCCAATAATTAGATGTTGCGTCAAAAGCAGGAACAAAAAATTAAACGTTCATCTGGAGCGTGAGTGAAGCATCCATCCCTTCGAAAAGGCCGTGAATGGTAAGCATTAGAAATTTAGTAAAAATTCGAAAAGAAGCGAAGATAGATGATTAATGTTGATCTTTCACGCTGCGTTACAGGTACGTCAGAAAAAGCTAGGTTATTAAATGCAGAAGAATACATTTTGGTTGATTTTATCATGTAAAAGAACATGATAAAAACAGTACCCCAAAGGCATTATTTCAGAGCCTCAAGTTCAATGTTAAGAGTATTTTTTCCCAAAATCGTCTTCTGGAATGAAGCACGGAACATTATGCCACAATAGGAAAATGCATAAAATAATGGTTTGGAAGTGAGATACCTTCCGCCAATTAATGGTATTCTTACGGACATTCTTACTTGATAAATAGAGAAAATAGGACAATATTTAAATCGCATTACGTTGTCAGTAAATCACTTCAACAGCATCCACGCAGACTAAAATACTTCGCCTGTAACAAAATTGATTAATAAAGAAGAGAAATTTTCAGATCTAGTTTCAACACACACATTTTTTTTGAAACATCTACTTACGGAATTAATAAAATGTTAGTAAGAAAGTGAGTTCAAAGAGGAGAAAGCCAGACAAATGGTAATCACGATAGCGAGATTAGGCAAAGCTTGTGAAATAAATCATTTCAAGTTTACAGTGAGAGCAGAGAATAGAATTACTTTAGTAATGCTTTCAGAGTCAAATGTGTGATACGGCAAGCAAATGGGTTGAGGCATTCAGCTGAATGTGCGAAATTTCTGCTTTCAATGCACTCGACATAAACCATGTCTCATGCAACGACACTAACGATCCAACCGAAAATCGTTTGAAACTAAAACAATCTTCCCCTCAAATTTTCAACCGATGGCAATTAAGACGACTAAAACCGATCATGATGTCAAACGTTTGGGTTAGATGGCAGTTTATGGTCGGCAGAGCTGTTTATATATTAGCGCAGTTAACATAGTTAGCGGCAGGATGTTGGAGAATGTTTGTTTGTAATGCTGTAGATGTGATAAATTTAACAAATTAAACGGCCGAAAACAGGGTTGTCAAATTTAGCAAGAAAGTAGATCAACTTATGTGTTATAAACTGATAATATCACTGAAATTCGAAACGTTTTGTATAGAAATGACCAATATCGCAAACATGTAGAATATTTTGTACTTATTGCCTATCAACTTTAATTCATTTATTTATTCTTAGTTTCTTTCACATAGTTTCAATTTTTTCAAGTACAGAACAAAGTCATTACATTATTGACCTTTTATAGTCAGAAAAGAAATTTAAAAATGAAGTTATCCTTTAGGTCCATTAAGTATTGAGTTGCAACTTGTTCTGAGACATGACATCGAAATAACTTGTCTAGAATTTTATGTACAATATCGAATGTATTTTCACTCGCGTCAAGACAACCCTGCTTCTTTTAACGAAATGAGTAAATAGAATAAATTCTTTTTATATTCTGAATGACGTCATCAAAATAGTTTTAAAATACAAAACAAATCCGCAACAACATCCTGCCGCCAACTAGATGAATGCCACCAGCAATAACCCACCGCTTTAATTTTACGTTTGAATAAGAAATTCAGTATAATGGCAGGCAGAGGTTTCTGGAGCGTTTGCTGTAGATCAAGTTTGAAGCCGTCGATCAGCAGTTCCGGACGCGTAGTAAAGAAAAATTTGATCACCCTGTGGAAACAACCAAAGCGTTAGTGAATGTTACGTTGGCGTCATGCGGGGTGTTCCAAGTACGGCACCGAGAAAATGTAGGGTACCTTACTGGCGTTTTGCTAGAGCGAAGTTCGAAATCGAGAAAAGGAAGAGGCTGAAATTAGGCCTCATCAAATCGTGGAGGATTTGGAAACGAATTTTTAATAGTGATGTAGTTTATGTAATGAGGTTACAAGAAGTTTCAAACTTAGAAGTAAATGATTTGGTATTATGTTAAGACGAATCCCATACCTGGAAGGGAGAATTATACAGCAAAATATAATTTAGATAATGAGTGGCTACACAATCTAAAGATAATACTATATTAGACATTTTCTGCTGCTGCGAAAGTTGAAGATTATGAAAGAAACTAGATTGAAAAGAATGATATCAATGAACAACACAGTTATGATGAGACTTGTTCTGAGCTCTAAATGAGGACACTACACATCAACCGCTCTGTAAAAGAAATAAGGAGTCACTGTGACTCGTTACTAGGCACACTGTTTTATTTTTACAAGAAGAGACACAAGAATTCGCATTTCAATAATATTATTATCCCGGAAGAAATTTATATAAACTAAATCACATAGTCTCGAATGATGATGTATTCTAAGATTGCACACATAATGTTACAAAAACAAGAAATAAACAGTGCATGATGTTGAAATGAGATACAATAATTTTATATAATAATATAATTGAGCATGATCAGATTAATGATAATATTCTGCTGTATTTCAATGTATAAATAATATAAATTCATAGATAATTTAGGTCTATACACAAATTCAATGTAATGCATCTTTCAAAACTACTCCAATCAAAAGTAACGTAGGTATATAATATGAACCAAACAAGCATACCTCACCTAGCAACTATCATACTTTTTGGAAACGAAATATAACTAAAATGAGTTTAAAAAGTGTGAAACTATACTAAAAGCGCTATGAAAAATTGGCTACAAATGATTACCTAAAACCTAGGCACTTTTACAGAAAAACCTTTTACAAGTTTCCTACAAAATGGTTAAGTACTTCTACAGCAAAACTACTAAAGAACCTCCAACAAAATCAATCAATATTTATGAAGCGAAACTTGTAAAAAATCTCGTACAAAACAGTTAGATATACACTTCAACAACGAAACCTCTAAGGAATCTCCTACTAAATTGTTAACTGATTCCCAAATATTATGGACCATCTTGCTGCACCTATTATAACTAAACTGATGAAAACTTGTGGGATCTAAAAGCACGGATGTCAAAAATAAACCCAATTAAGAATCTCATTTTTGATTAGATTAAAAAATTTTCGAGTAAATGTCTTAAGATAAATAAAATTTCCAGTTACATTGAATAATGATCATGTTGAGATGCATACGCGTTTCGTTAATGAACACTTCAATTTCAATATGTCAAAATTAGCTTCACATGTTCAACTCTATAAATCCACCATGGTCGGTGCAACTTTTTCCTCACAAGAGGAACAATGAGCAAACATATGTGTTTAAAAAATTACTTTTTAAAGACAACACTTCTAAAGGGGCCAGTGTCTCTGATGTTACACATGTACAATGAATTTTTTATATTATTTTTATATATTTTAAAAAATTATTTTTTCAATTGTTTTTAATATTTTTAAAAAATGAAAATTTTTAAATTTTTATTCAGTCAATTGATTCAAGCTTTGTCTCCGACATTACGCAAGTGTAGTGTGCAAAGTTTTCAATCGATTAGACAGTTGTAAGTGTGTTAAATATTTATTTTAAGATTTGTAGCAGACAAATCAACAAAGAAACAAACAAGAAGTGAAGTTAAAGAGAAGTGTTGTAAAAAAGTAGACTCAAATCGCGAACTACGACAATCATTGCGAGGAAGAAAAAGCGCCGTTAGTTATATGAGACATGGTAATACAACATTAGCCGTGAAATTCAGACTTGCTGAACATCAGTGAATACGGAGTGGCAAAGCACTGAATTGAGGGAAACTCTATGAAGTGGTCAGAGGGAATACTAGAGCATGAGGACATAATTCAGCAGCAACAGCAGATGCTGCAAAAGCAGAAATATCATTAACAACATCAGACGCAGCAGCAACATTGGCATCATCACACGCAGCAGCAACATCAGACGCAGCAGCATCATCAGACGCAGCAGCATCATCAGACGCAGCAGCATCATCAGACGCAGCAGCATCATCAGACGCAGCAGCATCATCAGACGCAGCAGCATCATCAGACGCATCAGTAATACAGCATCAACATCCGACGCATCAGTTATAACAGCATCATCAGACGCATCAACATCGGACGCATTAGCAATAACAGCATCATCAGCCGGAACAGCAACATCAAATGCAGCGTCATTATCAGCAACATCAGACGCATCAGTATTAACAGCATCATCAGACACAGCAGCAACCATCAAATGCAGCATCAATATCAGCAACATCAGACGCATCAGCAACATCAGACGCATCAGCAACATCAGACGCATCAGCAACAAGAGCAGACTACTAGCAGCAGCAGCAGCAGACGCGATCAATATCGTCAGACTGGCAGACGCCGCCGAGGGGCGGGCGGCAAGCGTCCAGTAGAGAGCCAGCGGCTGGAACTGAAGGCTACGTGCACAGCAATACAGGCAGAGAGGGTGCGGTCTCTGTAGTAATGAACCTTACACGGATAAAATAATAGAGCACTGGTTTGCGGCTGATGACAGTTAAAAATCACAAAATCCAGCAAAACTTGATCATGAGAAACAACTTAATTCTTTTATTGGGAGAACAGGTCAGAGCGAGTTAAAAGATGATCAGATTGCTAGTGCACATGGGTGCTTTATAGTTTATACCTTGTTGACATCGAAACACATTCATATTTGTGATTGTGAAAAAAAATCAGCGACTAACGATTTAAAATGCACGCAACGACGTTATTTTAATCCAAGTGTTTGATGCCGGAAGCACCAATATCTAGGTTGAATGAACAAAATAATAGCTGGCAGTTTGAGCGCAACAAGCGGAGTGCGGCCAAGCAGGCATCGCAGTTCCAACACACCGGGCGCTGGAGCGAGCAAGGCTAGCCGTATGCCTCTCAGGCCCCTTTCACACAGGGCAGTA